AGGTAATGGTGGCAGTGGTAGTGGTTGGGCAAGAGTGGGAGGGGGCACCCACTCAAGAAAAACGGAGGGCAGCACTCATCCAAGGCTTGGGTGGCCACTTCAGAAAACGGACTCAGTGTGTGTGTGTGTGCGCGCGAGTGTGTGTGTGTGTATGTTTGTGTGTTTGACATCCTAACTACCTCAGTTTTGCACATGCACCTAAGAGAGTGAAGAAGACAAGAAATGGAGCAAGTAGGAAAGATGGTGTGCGTGTGGGTATATATGTGCGTGAGAGCAGAGGGTGGGCAAAGATTTCTAGCCTTCACTTGACAATCTTCTAAAGAGCTCATCTGCATGCGTCCTTTTTTCTCCAAGCCTGATTCCCACTGCTACTTCCTTCCCTATGTGAGCCCCTTAGGCCCTCCAATCTGTCCATCTGTGCACAGGCATAGAGGAGATGCTGAGGAGATGAACGAGGATGGACAACCGGAGAACGACTGTTTGTCTACACTAAGCTAGCTACATTTGAAAAGGCATCTTGTTTTCCCTCTGATTAGCACTCTATCCAGACCCAGTTTTTGACCTCGGAGAGACTTTTGAAAACAGTCTTTAGAGTTCGGTAAATGTGAAGACGATGACATAAGCCTGGACTGGGGCTGCGTGGAAGTAAGTATACTGTAGGAAGACAGGATTTTCTGTCGATTTCTATTCCAATCTGTGATCATTTATAAAAAAAATTCAATATAGCGAATCAAACATTTAAGGTGCTGTCATTCAGCGGCATCTACTGTATTTGCATTTTGCTAGATGACTTTCATTGATATCCCATGAAAACAGCACCCCATTGTTTCACATAAAGTTTTTAAAAATAGACACCGGATAGTGGAGTTTGCCTCGTCAAGGATGATGAGGTATGACATTACTTTTGTGGAAAAATTGAGCGAAAAGCATTTAGATAACATTTAATAGACTAGATTATATTTTGGCCAGTGTGAGACACACGTTCACGCCTTCATGTATGCATACTGTAATCTTTACTAAATGTGTGATGTCTGTCTGTGTGTCTGTGTGTGTACAGTATGTGGGTGTGTAATGGGTTTACTAAATTAGTCTGCATTAAACTCTCCCATGCATAAGGAATTGAGCTGGCGTTGCCCTTTAGAATTAAAGATGGTGGGCTGTATGAGAAGCAGACAGTGTGATATATTACAGTGCTGCATGGTTCAATAACTGTCCTTCCATAATGATGCTGTTTAAAGTAAGGCACTGATAACAAACAAAAAAAATCACACACACACACACACTCTTTGCCTTGCTTGTATTGCTGAGTGTGACGACCCCTCCACCGCGTGGGGTGCCGTCTGGTTGTGTGTGTGTTTTGTGTGTGATTGCAGGTTCCAGCTGCAGCTGTTTGATGAGACGCACCTGCCGGAAGAGCTACACCTGTTGAAACAGGATATAGGAGGAGCCCATCCGGTTACGTTTCTCTCACTCCTCTGGGCACTCTCTATGCGCCAACTTCAGGGACCTGATGCTGGTGTTTTAGTTTGTGGTGTTCAAACCAATAAACTATATTATTCTTACCTCTCGTCTGGCCTCCCTGCTTTATGTTACAGCCCACCAGCCGGGTTGTAACACTGAGATACTAGCAGATATGAAAGAATGAAATGTATGGGCTTGTTTAGCTATTGCTCAGACCCGAGTTCTAGAGTAGAATCACACAGGGAGCTTTACATGTTAAGGGGGGTGCATCAGTTGATACAGGGCAGACAGCATGGGTAAGAAAAGGGAATTGAGAAAAAGCATACTGCTGATTCGGAGTCAGTTTTGCTGTGTGGTTCTAACATCTTATGACCAGAAGTTAAAGGCAGATCACGAATAAAAAACAAACGATGGTGGTATAATCAGGCTGCATTCACATGATACGTGGTATACCAGATCTTCTGCCTGCATTGCCAATGAAGAGTGGTGCCGCCCAACTACCACTGACCTTTTGACATGCAACCACTCAAATGACTGCTGAATGAAGCGGCGCAAGCTAGCAAGGGAAGCAAATGTAGAAACAAAATGTAATTGGTTGTTTGGCCCAACCTTGCAGTGAGCTAAGAGCAAATCAGAAAGGTCTTAAGAGTGCGTACTATACCTCCGAACAAGGCTGTTACCGTAATAAAATAATTATGTGGCCCAAATGTCCCAATAATCAGAGCAGCAGATCAGTTCTTCTTGGCCTGCGCTACTCCTTTTGAACAAATATCATGAACAATCAGGCAAGCAGTTCATTTGTAATCTTGCTGACATACAGAAAATGAAACCAACAAACCAAACAGGAAAACAAATCTCCTTAAGAGGAAATGGTTGTTGCATTAAGAAGATAAACATTGTGCAACAAGCAGCCAACAAAGAATCTACTAGATGGTGAAAGTTCAAACCAAACTCATTATGAAGTCTGACAAATATCTGAGCTGATCTTTACATTTGAATAAAAACCTACTTAAAGTTATTAGTTCCACAGACTCTGCAAACTTGTATTGGCTTTGGCTGGATGGTTGGTTTAGTTTTAATATCCGTGACATGCTTCCTAACCGAGAGCAATCCATCTATATCTTTTATTTAGTATGCATTCACACACACATGTACACAACTTTGTAAATGTTTGGCTCCATGTTTTTGTTGCAGCATTACTCTTAATGTATAAGAGTGTGTGTTGTCTTTGCCCTGCTGAGGTGCTGATGGAATGGAGTCCTTTGCGATTTTGTTTATCTCCGTTTCTCCACATGCACAGCGGGGCTTTGGCCTCCCTTGACGTACAGGAACAGCAAGCCAAGCACACAAACGCACACACACACCTACACACACCACTGACACAACTGCATTCTTTTTTTGGCACCATCGATTACTGTCAGCTAATACCTGGACTTGCTTCTGTCTGCATCATCAGGTTTCAGGAAGTGATGATAAATGAATAGCACTGCCAGCACTGCTGGCCATGGATAATGGTTTCTATAAAATCAAGACATTCTCCGACTCCTGTTACTTCTAACAACGACGGAACATTTAAGTTAATGCATATTGGTTGAATGCAACTAAGTAGCAACAAAAGCTACTAATTCATCTGCTGCAGTTAATTATGAGATTGCTGAACAGTTATTGTTAGAAGTTAGTGTATGAAACTGAAACATTGGCATTACATATAAAATAAACATGTGATGCTTTGGTATTACATATATTAAACTGTCTTCGGTGATAGGCTTATTTAGTGGTTTAATTACCTTTATTTGCAATAAACTTAGTTGTAACCCATTCTGTTTTTTGCATTTACACCATTTCTTTTTAGCAGCTACTTCACTAAAAAGGTCTACCCTGCAACCCAAGGTCAACTGAGTCTTGGCTTTCCATAATAACATAGTATTTATGCAGGGAGGAAACACTATAAGAAACATACTGTGGAAGAAAACATCTCAATGAAGCCTGGAAGTGTCCATCAAACACTTAACTTCCCCACATGAAGACAGGTACAGACATAACGTGTGTGTGTGTGTGTGTGTGTGTGTGTGTGTGTGTGTGTGTGTGTGTGTGTGTGTGTGTGTGTGTGTGTGTGTGTGTGTGTGTGTGTGTGTGTGTGTGTGTGTGTGTGTGTTGTGTGTACACACACAATATGCATGTCAGTGGGCATGGGAGTACACAAGCTCTCACACTGAAGCTCAAAGCAAGCACAAACAATTCAATATGTCCCTTTTTGTCTGTCTGTCTCTTTCTCTCTCTTGTTCTCAAACACACACACAAACTGGCCTTTGGCAGATAAACTAGAATAAGACAGCTGATGGGAAAGGAGAGGGAGATAAATATGGAGCATCAGCACAGTCATACTGTACTACTTTAAAAGTAAAGTGGGAGGGAAGAAGAAAGCAGGAAGAAACCTCAGAGCTTTCAGCCTAGGCCTAGCTCCAGGATGTAATGCAAAAAGGCAAAACTCATAGGTTAGAAGATATTCTATATGTTCCTACATGCAGGACATGGTTACATCCTACCATTAGCACATGTACTCTGTTCTGCATTGGCCACTACTCCCTCACTGTGAATGGGACACCAGTTGGTTGTTCCTCAACAAAAACACCACTGTTAGCTATACTGGCTTTAAAGTGGTGGAATGAGCTCCCTATTTATATCAGGTCTCACATCTTCCCTTTCAGACTGAACATCAACATGTTTTAACATCACATTGGCCATTCAAAAAAACAATTCAATACTTCTCTACGAGGCAGTAAAAGGGGCCCTATAATGCTCATTTCCAGGTTAATGTGACATGTCTCCATGCTTTGATGTTCAAAAAGTTCTTTATTTTTCTCATACTGCCTGTGCTGCAGCACCTCTTTTCACCCTCTGTCTGAAACCAGAGTCTGCTCTGATTGGTTAGCTGCTGTGTTGGTCAACTGCCTAAAGATGGTCTGACCCTTAGCATATCACATACAATGTGTTGGAGCGCTAGCAAATACAAGCGCATGTGGTACATAGTGATGTCACTATGTTACAGAAGAAAACAAAGGAGTCTAATGGAGGCGTTTCAGGCAGGGGGGGGGGGAGTGTGTGGGAGAGAAACTCCCTGTGGAGGGAACTTTAGGATTGTTGCCTTTGCAGACCATTTACATGCACAGAAACCTTTATAGCATACTACAGGAAAGAGAAAAAGCCCCAAAAGCATAATAGGGCCCCTTTTTCAAACAAGGTCTGCCTTGTTTGAAGAAAATATACTTGCAGGAAATGTCTTTTCTGAATGTGTATCCTAATGGTTGATTGCACTTATTGCAAGTCGTTTTGGTTAAAAGTGTCAGCTAAATGCCATATAATGTAAAGTTATAATAATAGTTGTTCAGCAAATTGTACCAAACTTACCACTGTGGGTTGAACTGATGAACCAAACCACTATGATCATGTGCACAATCTACCCCCTTCAACTTGTTTTGTCAAACTCCTGAGAGTGTGACAACAAGTGAGTTTGCCCTGAGAAGGTCATGGTGCCTTACCTGTCGTTGGCAGTAGCAGAGACAGGAGGAGATGTAGTTCCAGCTCCCCTCGGTTTATTGACTTTGGCGTACAGCCTATCGAGGGGGTCGTCATCAGGAATGGCTCCAGGGTCGTTGATGTGATTTGCATGTCCTGGGAAGACAGGAGGGCCTTGGGGGGGGAGGGTTGGCAGCATGGGCGTGCTGAATGGTACTGTAGGGAGGTGACTGAGATGGTGGCTGCGGCAACGGAGCCGCATCACGGTCCCTGAAGGTCTGTATTCGGGCGTAGTTGGGGTCTGCGTCATCATCTTCAAATTCTGGATAGGATGTCCCGCCAACTTGCTGGTCTCTGGGCCGCAACTCAGGATGCCCCGCCTCGATCCTGACAGAGGGAGGAAGAGTAACACGTCTAGAAATGTTCTTGATATGCAAACAGGAAGAGAAAATACTCTCTGAGTATTCCGGCAAATTTAAAGCACATACAAATAGTGATCATCATCAAAGCCCCCCACCTTTCTCTCTCGTCTTTCATCCTCTCGAGCTCATGATCACTCAGGACGTCTGACTTCTGTCGCTGTAGAGCTGCTTTCGCCTCCTTCTTCTCATCTTTTTTCTTGCCAAATCTGGACAGAGACAAAAAGACACAATGAATGAAATTAGAGAGAAACGTCATGGTATAATAATTTAATATGGGAAGTTTAACAGCCTTAACATGATGTGGTTCTGTTGAAGCAGATGAGGAACAAACATTGACACACATGGCTGTTATTACAAAATGTCCTCTCCATTAAAGGCAGCTCTTTGTGGAACAGCCTCCCAACTGAGATACGGGATTGTCCCACTCTCAATAGCTTTAAAGGTCAACTCAAAGAATGGTTGAGAAACAAACAGACGTGCGATCACCGCTAACTGCACTTTAACACAGGGGTATCTCCTCTCGCACTTTCCCATCTCTTGTTTCTCCCCTTGTACTTAATGTGTCGTTGCTGCTATATTGTACTACCATGTGATAAATACTTGTGTATGCTACTCTTGCTCTTTTGCACTTTTTTGCATATCATGTATTTGTTTTTGCTATGTTAATACTTGTCATGTTCTTAAATGTTTTATATGAGGGACTGCTGATGGAAATTAGCTCCAAGCTAAAATCTGGCATATGTACACTTGACGCATTTTTCACTGTCATGATTATTTTCAGGTTTCATATTTGTATGTAGTGTCTCTACTGTGACATGTTTACATGCTTTAATGTTCAAAAAGGTCTTTATATTGCTCATACTGCCTGTGCTGCAGCACCTCTTTCACCCTCTGTCTGAAACAAGGTTAGCTGGCTGGCTCAGCTGTGATTGGTCAACCACTTAGAGATGTCCCGCCCATTAGCCTATCACCTACAATGAGTTAGAGTGCTAGCCAACAGAAGCGCAAGTGTTACACATTGATGACACTATGCTACGGATTAAAACAAATGATTTAAATGAAGTAGTTTCAGGCGTTGCTGTTTATTAACAAACATGTTTGAGATATCGACCACTGGAATGTGAGGAATTTAAGGATACATCTTTTTAAAAATAGATAAACAATAATTAACAAGCCTATGCAGAGTGGCTTTGCAATGCACTGAGCAGTGGAATAAATGGTGGATAAGTAGTTCAATAAATTAGAAGGAGGCAGGCAATTGCACTCTGTATAGCCTAATCTAAATTAAAAGATGGCATACACACAATAGACTAAGAGGCCCTTTAAGTGGCCACATATCAATACTCAAACCACACCACTCAATACAGTGTGTGTCGTCAGCATCAACAGCATACTCAGCACTACTGGACACTCATTACCTGGACAAGGCTTTCACACACACACATACACACACCTGCCTTCAATTTATAATGAAATATAAATGAATACTCTGAATCAGAAACAGGTTTAATGCCTTAAAGAAATACACTTTTGGTCAGAAATAAAAAATGCATCGTACAATGCACGGATACATGCATCAAAATGGCGTAAAAAAGGAAAATATTTACATTGAGATATGAAGTGTTTTAAAGAGCCTGTGACACGAGTTTCCCCCATCATCCAAACCCATCAATTTGAGTAAATATTGTCCCCTTGAAAACCGTTACTGAACTGATTTTGGATATTTGTACTTTGATAACCATTAATCTGCCCTTCAATGTTGACCATTTTCCTGGATCTTCTCGGGGATTCTTCAAGTCCCGCCAAATTACGTGTGACGTCATTGCGGGCACAGCGCTCCAGCTGCACCGTTCAGGATCCCAGCATCTGCATGTAAACGCACGATGGCGCACACAGCAGCAAGCTCAGACAGCGATGACAGTTTAATTTTGAACGTGTCTGAGAGCTCATATGAGGCTGAAGGATCGGTTTATTATATCTAGGGGTGCACCGAATGGGAAATTCTTGGCCGAAACCGATACCGAAAATAGGAAACAGTTGGCCGAAAACCGAATGCCGAAAGGCCGAAAATGATTAATAGAAATATATATAATGTATACATTTTTTACCAATGTTGTTCAGCTACCTGATAATGGAAATAGACATGATTATGGCAAAACTTAACTTAAATAATAATCACTATTATGGGTCCATAAAACATTTATTCAGCACTTTTGAATGCATACAGTACATTTATATATGTCATGTATTATTGCTAAAAAACATTATATCGCAGTTTTAGTGTCGCCAACTCGTTTCTAATATGCAAAGACAACAAATGCGTCTATGATGTATTTTCGATCAGACGAGATCTCTCTCCCCGTCTGTGTGCGAGGGGGCGGGGCAGTTTACACACACGCAGCTGCTACATGCAGCAACACACTGCGGAGATGGCGGAGAGAACGCGCTCCGAGGTGTGGTTAAACTTTACCCGTCTCGATGTGGAGAATACTTGTTACCATAAGTGCAATAAGAGTTTAGCATGTAAGCACGAGCAATTTGTCTAAACATTTAGCAAAAGTGCACCGCATGCAGACGGAGGAATGTACCGGGTTCGACCGTCTTTCTAGCAGCTCTGTAGCCCCGTCCACGAGTAACGTTTCCACGTCAGGTGTTATGTATGCTAGCAGCAACACACGGAGTTAACTACATTATACAAACATGGGTTAAATGATTAGAGAAAACTGAGTTATTTATTTTGTTAACATTTCAGCTATTCTGTTTACAGTCTGTCATCAGATTATTTAATACGATTTGTTAAAGGCTCAGGGCAATCTCGATGACAAGGTCAATGTCTCCCCCCCCCCCTGTGAGCCAGCCGCGAGCATGGTCGCCGCGTCTTTATTACGTCATCACAACAACACGTTAGGTTACCAACGTAAGCCTGTTCTGACATTCGGTGATATTTTTTCGGTGCTAAAACCCTTTCGGCCGAAAGCCGAAAGGGCCTTTTTAACCATTTTCGGCCGATACTTTTCGGTGGCCGAATATTCGGTGGATCCCTAATTGTATCTGTTAGAAGTTTAGGAATTAGGTGCGTCAATATGGGCGATCATACGGTCATGTAGCCAGTGGGACTAAAAATCATCCCGGGACTCTCGACCGGCCCACTTCGGTACCGCTAGTAAATTGTCAACAGGGGGAGTGGGGGATGTCAGGGGCGGCGGGTGCTGTAGATAGTAAATGTAAATATGTAAATATTTGTGTCACTGCATCCTGGTAAAATAAAAATATAATGCAATGTCTGTGTCTTTGACATTAGCGCTGCTAGCCACCTGTGCCCTGTACTACGAAGCCAGTTCAACAGACCCTGGATATGTTTGAGTAACACACAAACTAACAACAACAAACTAACAAACGAGATCTCGCTAAGCGGTCCTACGACGCTGGTTATCAACTCGGTAAATCAAGCCAGGGTTTCTCTCTCCAGCTGAGAGCGCGTTCACGTCTAAGACACGAGTGGATCTGACTTTAATTACATTTGACTCGAGTGTTTCGTCAACATAATGTGTTGCTTAAAATAATACTTCTCTTCTGCATACAGTATGTGACACTGTAAGTGTTGCACGGCCAGATACGGCTGGAGAAGCTGACTCAGATAAGGAAATATATGATACATTATATGATCGATGATCTGATTGATGATGTAATATGAATGATAAGTGCGACACGTCGGCGTCTTCTCTGCATACGGCAGTTTAAACTGTATTTCCTTTATCCTGTAATATGACTTGAGAGATTTAAACTCCGCACACTGAGTTGATCTATTTTCTATAGACGCCGGAGGCGGGCAGCGTCAGGTAAAAAAAGTTATTTAGCCTTCCCAAACCTGAGCCTCACGCGCCGCCTATGGGGGATGTGCTAGTGACTTATCCGACCGGCCCACTTCGGTACCGGCCCATCGGGATTCGTCCCGATGGCCAGTCCGCCAATGCACCCAGCCCAGGTAAACTGTCAACGGGGGGAGCCTCGCTGCGAGGAAACGGTGGACCTAGTGTCCCGATCGGAGTGGGAATAATAATAATAATAATCCGTGCATTTTATCCATTAATTTCCCCAACATTGTGGTGAAAAAACCACACGTTTAATCCAGGTTGGTGTACTACAACTACAAAAAGCATCGGTTTGTTTTCTCATCAGGAAATGCAGACCGGCACAAACAAACGATTTTTAATCATCATCCTCACGATCATTTAATGTATCATATGTTCGCCGAATTGACATGAAAGCACTAATAAATGTAGTTTCATCCACTTGAGTTTACAACTACAAAAATAATCGATTTGTTTTTATATCACATCCTACGGGAGGAAATTCAGCAGCTCTCACTACCGATTTTTAATCCTAATGTAATCATCATCTTCACCACGATCATTTATGTTTATGTTCGCCGAATTGACATGAAAGCACTGACAAATATGAATATACTGTAGTCAACTTCATTAAAACGTTATTAACGTGCCTAAACTCAGTAATTCACCATTTCTACGCATGACAACACACTTTGTCCGTGTTTGGCTCTCTCGCCGCACAGTGAAGCGTTCCCGCATTGACGTCACTTCCGGCTTCCCCCAAAACTTCAAAATGAGTCGAAGGAATTTCCCCGCGATGTTCGAAATTATTGATATTTAACGGAACGGTATCGCTTTTTCTTTTTTAAACTGACGGTTCGTGATTACTAGTAGCCCAATATTTCATTGCACAACAGTTGTTGGGATGCTGTCACAGGCTCTTTAAGCAGTTGTTCCTTCTTAATCCAAGATAAAGATTTAAAGCACTGAAAGTAATATTGATAAAGTTATCAGGAGCCATTAGGAGGAAAAAAAGCTGAGGCTAGGAACGAAAAAAAAAAAAAAGGGACTCCTAATAGAAGCTCATTAAACTCTACACCCCAGCAGCTACACGGTGAGTAGGATATGGTTAATTGAGCCAGTCAAAACTGCTAAATAGTTAATATCTCCAACGTGCAGACCGTGACCTTATAACACGCCTTATGTTTTATTTATCTGCTGAATGTATTGATGTATTACCCTCTGGTTTACACTTCCGCTACCCACTGCTACTGATGTTTTTAAAGTACCTGTTTGTGCATTATTTATAACGAGATTTGTGGTCATTTAAAAATGTGTGACTGTTTTGTATATACAGTAGCTTGTGCATTGCTGGA